CCCCCCACTTGACAACCCACTGACAGTGCTGGATTTATGCACCAATTTACCAGCTCGCGCGTGCAATGCGCAGCTACCTACCCCCCAATCATCGGTGAACGAAGCTGTGGCAGCTACAACCAGTGTACGACGAGTACGCGGTTCTTACAGCGGACAATGATGATGATGATGCCGAGATATCTGGATGTACAGGATGACGTTTTGTGAACAGGTGGATCTGAACGTACACAGGAGACGGTATGTAGGTTTGTAGACGGGACTTGGACTTGTTTGACTGGACAAAAGTACGTACTAAATGGGCTGAGCAAGACGACAGGACAGCAATTTTAGAAACAACAAAAGACTCGCAACATTTCCAGTTAAAAACTCACGTGTAAAACTCTGTGGAAAAGTACAACGATGTAGTTTGTTTGTGGAAAATTTGAGTTTTCTCAACCTAAAGAAAGTTGTTTGAACGCGGATAGTCCAAATAACGGTGGAGAGACTGGGGTAGTTCAGTCAGAAAAATAGGCATCCACAGTTAATAGAAGTTACGTCATGAATACTTCAATTTTTTCGCCCAAGAAGTACTAAGTTGCAGATTTATTCGAAAGCGTGGGGTAAGTGGATTAGAAAAAAGGGGGAACTAGTGGAATAAAATCCTCGAAGTGTTAAAAACATGTGACTAGGTGGGTGTTTTGATGCATGAAAGGAAATGGGGGTACAACTGCACCTTGAAGAAAACCAGTTACTACAGGAAAAAAGACAGATCACTACCACCCAACTCTTTTGTAGTGGAACCACGAGGAAAACTAATCAATAAGCTAACCAAACGCAGTAGGAGAGACCCTGGAGGAATAAAGTTAACGTAATATTTGTCTCGATATTTGGAAATACCGAAGACAACTCGAGAAATATACATTCATCTATCGATTTGTCTGAAGACTAATCAACGGAGTGAATGAGGAATCGGACAGCGTCAGTTTTAATGCCGTTTTTTTTCTAGCAAATCAGAAGAAGGATATTCACGTGTCGTTTTCTCGATAGTTTGCAACAGGGTTGGAGAAATAGCAGTTGGGCGACACTTTACGGTCACCCTCGGAATAAGCACAATTCGAACGGTCCAGATATAGGGAAACTGCATCCGGCATAATTAGATGCAGATACATGTTCGATACAACCTGTGGTATCAGCCACCTAGACCAGGGAGGGCAATTCGCGACGTGATACGAATTGAATAATTCAGGTTTGATCGAAAGGATCGATTCCCCGGACAATCTTGCAGGCACAATTAGTCCAGTAGAGCAAAGGTTTTGGTTCCTACTATCACGACACCAGATGTTAGATGGTCAGTTTTCTGAATGGGAAGGCGAGTGAATCAGTTGTACTAACCTTTCTGTCATTCCTGCATTCGAAATAATGCGGGACACGCATGCTTGTCACCGGAACACCTGAGGACACTCAACTGCCTGGGCTATACAGTCCTTGGGGGCATATAGCGAATTTCGTTTTTTTTGGTACACTACTAGGAGGTTTTACTTCACAGCATGTATCTGCAAAATGATTCTCGGAACTTTTCACGCATCCCTAATGTCCTTCGGATGTCAATAAGTTTGCAAAATTGAAACGGTGCTGTTAACAGTATTACTGCATGTAACACGGTTGAGTGCTAGCTGGAGTAAAGTTTACCCCTCTGGATACGATAACCATTAGCCCTAGTGAGTCGACATGATGGATTAGAGCAAAAATCATGGGATCCAGAAGCCCATTACGGTTGTGATGGTCGAGAGTATTTAGTTTGACGAAGCACGTGAAGTTTTACAGTCAGAAACATGGGGTGAGCTCTAGTAGACATGCCTTTTGGATGAACCAGCCACAGGTGCCCTCCCAATTAAGGAACACCACTCACTGTTCGACACACCAGGACTGATTTGAACCACTTTGGGGATCTTCCGGTGGGGCGATCCCAGGGTTTCCCTCAACCTATGTAAGGTTACTCTGAATGGTACGGCTTTATCTGACGTTAGTCCACGTAACGAATTCTATTCTACCGGAGAAAGATGTCGATGGGGTCCTGGCGAATGTGAATTGAATTACAGGCAGTTTTTGACGTCTCGCATTACATTCTGACAAGACTTTACCCAACGACGAAGTCACTGAAGGCCTAAACCGCTTCTCAGGCGTAGATTTCGAATTCGGCCAAACGAGAATGCACAAAGTGTTTCATATTCCCAATTTGCTTAGCCCATGACTGTTTTGACTAACTTCCAAGGATTAAATTCACTCACTGAGGCAAATGCTGACAAAGAAGGTTGGCTGTCTTTCTGCCTCGGTTTCCCACGGCAAAAGTACATGGCTTTATTGCCACAAAATTAGAATAACTTTTTTGTGCCGTTTCGTTCATACTAATTGGTTTTTACCTCAGCTGTTCAGAGGAATACTACAAATGTACGGCTCAGAGCGGATGCCCCACCCCAAAAAATTTCATCAAGATGTATGTCCTGAAGGTGCGCACTCTTCAAGAGAGGTGACTGTACATCTATTGAAACGCACTCATGCCAACGCCGTGCTGTGTAAAACCAGTTTTGCCACTCCAAAAGGTCAGCATCAACGTGAATAGGAGATCCGATTTCGTACACGGTCTACTGCCTGAACAGTCGTTGGCCAAAGCCGGTGTGTGAACCAGCTATGAAGCCCTTTTAAGGTTTCCAGCCTCGTTGTCAATTTCGCTAGCCAGTATTACGCGTTTTGTCCCACAACAAATGTAGTATTGCCTTCTGGTACAGCATCCACAACAAGATGCTTTCTACGCCAGTTTTTGGCTATTTCTACCGACTAACATTCACTTATACGTCAAGGGATCCATGACACTGAATTATCCAAACGCATTTGGACGGACAGCTCTTGAACGTGATCTAAACCAACCGACCAGATGAAGATTGGAGCGGGTCGTTCGATGAAACACCGTGATTCAGAGGAGTTAATGAAGTGTGGTCGATCCGTTGGGCCCGAATCCGTGATAATGGGAGAGAGACAATCGGATCGCTTCAGCGGAACCTCGGAAGACATAACTGACGAGATATCAACATTCCCTTTACGCTCGTCATCCAGGTGACCATTGTATTAATAGGTTCATCAATGACAGCTGTGGTTTGAAAAGTATGTGAAGACCTTCAGAGGATGTAGTATGAGCTCAGTGCCAAGGTGGATGTGTAGGTGGAGTCGATCCAGGGCAAATAGGCCAATGGCTGCTCGAAGACTGCCAGCCAATCATCTCACCATCTCAGTGTACAACTGTAGGTCAACACAAGCCAAGGTCATCCAATCAGAAAACTTCATCTATTTTAGTCAGCAACAAACGAATAACGACCACTGTACACAAGTTGACAATGCAGTAATCAGGGGGCGAACTAATCACAATCAAGCAAATTCGAACAGTCAATACAGGATCCGGAACGCTGTTCGGGATGTTTGTTTGTATACCGATAGATCAGTGATTTCGCCCAGTAAAATAAGTGCCTCCAGGATCAAACCAAAACCCTTTCTTGAGTAATTTCCGAAAAGCTGATTTTTAAAGTTACGTGGAGCCGGAACTCTGGCAAATTTATATTGACACAACCATCCACGGTTCATAGATGATAGTTTTGTGACAGTCAATGCCATAGTGAGCATAGCAGCTTCCGAAACCTGACCAAAGATTACCACCCACTTTTCTACATGGGAACACTTCAGAATCGTAAGTCGACGTAAATCATCTTGACACTTATATGAACTCATCAATTTAAGGCTGCCAAATAATCGGAAAATGAATTATGAATGAAAACATTGCGTAATTAATTAATTACCTAGTTACTAGCGGAAGGTGACAATTTCCTTCAATGCTGTTCAATCTTGGACGTCCTAAATAATACCTGGTGCTTTCTTACCAAATGAGTTGTGCATTTGGCCTCAGAGTTTGCGAGCAGATTGAAGATTTGGTGTCCACCAACAGCGCCCACTCCCCTCGGATCTATATGGCGAACGATATAGGGCAACTAGACTTTGTCTTACCATGCGTTTACACTAATTTCATTGTTTGGCGATCAGTAAACCCAATAATTTGGTGTGAACACACTGGCATATGTTATCTGTTTACCGATGTGGTTAGCTAAGCGTGGGTGCATATGTACACAGTCTACAGTGCAAACAGTGGCTAGTGGTGAAGGCGTGGGTAACTCGTCGAGCAGAAATCTCCACTCGGTTTCTTCTCTACACGCGGCCTCAATTCAAACAGTTTCTAGCGTACATTGATTAGGATTATCTAAATCCTTTCAAAATAACCATAATAGTTATTCCAAATGACTGCTGGATCACACAAGTGACCAGTTTTGAAGGAGCTTTACCAGCCTCGAAAGTACGTTCTACAGACACACAGCTACCAAATTGTTCTTCACATTCGGGCACTACAAATGCATAACGCATATACATCTGTACGAACAAGAAAATTAACAAGACGAATCTCCTCCTGTTCACAGCATGATTTCTTCTGCTTCTTTGGTCACCGCAGGGGACGCGAAAATAGGCAAAAATGTTTTGTACTTCGGAAAAGACAATAAAGTAACACAGAAACTGTCTTACCGATTGATTCTTCTGCATCTGAGAAATCTTGAATTCCCTGTGGATTTATGACATGCTTTGAAATGTCAAGCAAGCATCCTCAGTGACCTCTGTAGACCCTTCGAAGAGGAACTGGACTTTATCAAAACTCAAAGTCAGTCTAAATCTCCTGACCTTAATGAACCACACACCTCAGTCGTCAGTCCTTGGCCTCCACTTGCATGGTTGAGATTTTGCGAACGAGCAAAGAACTTTTCAAGGAATACACTCATTTGCAACTCAATTTGGTTTCCACGAGAGACTAAACTGAATCTCTCGTTTGTGATATTCTGCAACTGAATGTGCTGCATACAGGCCGCCCCATAATTCAGTTGGGGCGAAAAGAGCTTCCCCATTTTTGCACCGTTCTCCTAAGCGAAACGACTGTTAGCTGTTTCATCGTTGCTTTTGATTGAAAAACCACAAGGAACTACATTTCATATAAGAAAATGAAAAGGTCACAAACAGTGCCCCCTTGGACTTGGTATTACCGGTGCTGCTGGTGACGTAACTGGTGCAAACGGGAGTCAGGTCGCATCTAGAAGTTGGAGAAGAGGAGGTGAAACAGTAGAGTGGCAAAGTATTGCATGAATGATAAATTATTTCATCAGTCAACTCCACAGACCTGGCCAACTTAGTCCGACTAAGATCGGTGTTGAGCAGATTAGTCCCAGTGCAGGGGTGTGTATGTTTTTGTCGAGTGAGTGTTTGATGGTGGTCACTTGAATCATTTTGGAATCGCCGATACGTTCCAAAGAATGCACCAACAAAGTTCAGTTCGGTTTATTGCCTTGTAGATGAGCAGCCGCTGGAGTTGTAATCGAGTAACGTTTCCGGGAGATGACTGGTACGACTGTATAAAATATGGGATAAAGAGTGGCAAGGTGGTAGCTGCTCGTGGTGCATATGTCTGTGCCTTGGGCTGAGTGGCTGAAGATATCGTGATTTGATTCTTCGGAAGCCTAATGCACAGCTTGCCATCATCTATGGTAATATACCAGGACTAGTGTCAAATTGAAGAAAGTGGTTCTCTCCCGGAGGCGAAACGGCTTCTCAGATTCTTTCTAATAAACACTGAAGACTTCCATGCAAGTGTGAAGACCAGACCATAAAGCTACAGTCAAAGGCTCAAGACCAATCCCTATGATGCACGCCACCCGATTTGTTCATAATCGGGTTTTGGGAGCAAACAGACTTGTAGTTTGTCACACCCCTGGTGACATGTGCTTGATGTTTCAAACTAGAATTGCAGTGGTCGCCACGGGAAATCAATCGACAAGTCTGGTTAGATTGAGATTCACGTATTGGTTTTGAGAAACTGCTTCGCTCTCGAGGAAAAGCCATCGAGTAAACCTCGAGGAGTCACTGCGTTCCCAGGGTTTTGCTAAATATGTCGCTTGTTTTTGGCATCAGGGCACTCAGCGTTTATCAGTAGTTATAAACGGTTCTCTTGGTCTCAAATGGTTTTGTCGCTTTCTCTAGAGTTTATGTTCCTGATGTTTACTCCTTTTGGACATACACAAACCGATAGAGTGAGTGCCAGCCACCCACTTCCATGTTATTAAACACATGTGTATTTTTATCCTTGCCTGATTCTAATATGAAAATAGTGTAATACGCTACAAAGATCTACCTCTCCCGGGAAAACTCTTATCCAGGGGAAACCTCATCGTGTTGACGAGATTAACGCGTAGGGAATTTCCAAAAGTAACTCACTCCGTAGGATTAACAGACGTGAAAAATGACTGGCATTTTGTGATAAGTGATTGTGCTTTTTAGTTGTGATTGCTTGTATTCTCAGAGAGGGCTGGAAAGCAACAGCTGTTGACCCAGATTCACCTATCGACTGTGGGATTGGACGGTCGATAACGTAAACATTACCAACTCAATATGTTGTTCCACTTACATGGTGGAAACTGAAGGGACTAGATAAGGAGCACAATGATGTACTCTGAAACAAATAAAAGCAACAGAAAAACTTTAGAGTAACGGACATGAGGCCAAGCGGATTCGAATACTCAACATCAAAATCCAAACAAGTATAGATACCCAAGTCCTGTGGCAGTGAGTGCTTATTAGCGCATTCTCACAAAGAGGTGCTTTCCAGTTAAGTGGAAGAGGTTATTTGAAATTGGATCTTCCCGGTCTGGATAACTTAATTTTGTACAGGAAAGTAATTGAAATCCCATAAGATCCAGCCGATTGGAGATAAACTGAGTATACGGACTACTATACATGATAGAAGTTGTGGACAGACAGAGAAGAATGATGACATGGAAATAAGAATCACTAGAAAAAGGAGTTTTAGACCTCGTTTCATAAGGGCTTGCTAGACAATCGGCAGTTTTTAAACCAGTTTCTGACCTGACCAGAGAAAATAGGTCAGGGAAAACAGCATGAGAGCTGAACAAAATGGTGCACCTTGTTATGCCAACACGCTCACGCTTACCTTTTGTAACCACATATGGTAAATTTCGGATGAGACTAGCGAGGAACAGACGACGAACGATCGATATGCTTGCCAGTAGTAAATGAGTAGTATGTCTTGATACGAAAACTTGGGATTGATATGTGATAAACCACATTTGGATAGAGCTCTTTTTGGTTCCTAAACCTGTCACTGTGCAACAATGTTTTCTGGGTTTCATCGAATCCCCTGTCGTTCACCAATTTAGTAATTTTCGTGCTCAAATTATGGGAGTCTTCTCATTCACTTGCTGTTTTATATCAGAATAAATAGGGCGAACATGACGGCAGTTGTGCAAGAGAAGCATAACTGATTTTGACTGACTGACGGATCCAGTGGTCGTCCACATGGTCAAACCGAGTCATGTGAGGCCAAATACTATACCAAGCGCCTTTCCACCTACCACAGCTGAGGTGATTGGGATTAGCTCACGCAGTCCATGCCTGTACACAATGAAGGCGTTCATATGCTCATTGAATCTGCTCACGTGACCGCTGGCCACTCACCACGGCCGATCGTGATTGAAGTAATTCTGTCTCTCTCACACACACACCCGCATGCCTGGCTATATCGTTGATTTGCTTCTGCAAATCACTCGGTTTTAGATTTCTTATCCCTCAGTCTGTAACGATATAAAAAAGAGATCGCAAAAACATCGCTGTTTTTCAACTTTTGTTCTAACCTTTGCAACTAAAACACCTGTGAAGATTACCAAAATGCCTCCACTAGGTTAGGTTTACTCTGTTCAGGGATAGGCATGTCCACTACATCTTCTGCATCTGGTCAAAGAATCACTCTGAGCATCTTCCCTTTGCCGCCTGCACCTGTTTACCGATAAACCAAAGGACTTGGTGAAACAAGTAACTTGAATTGTGGCACGTGCCGAAAAAATTCACTTTGGCAATGAATCATGTGATGGATCACCAGCCACCTTGTATTTTTGACATCGGAGCCTGCCAGGTGGCTA